CTCCATGTGAGTCCAGCAATGTAGCCATTATGCCATCTACTGGTCCCGAATTCCCTACCTATATTGATAGGGCATTTATCTAAGCTGTCCCTTAATTTGTATGAAATACCCTTAAGAGTATTTCTCTACTTTTTTCTTTTCCATATTTTTTAAGCAATTATTTTTCTTATTTTTAAGGCCACGGTTGTTAATAAGGTGCCAGGAGTGCCAGCAGGTGGTGTGGTGGTTAAGGGTGCTGGACTCCTACATGACTGACCATGTTTGAATCCTGGGCCTGGTAGCTCGTTTTTTACTTCCCTCGCTTGCTCTCACTCTGTCCCTCCCTGGTCAAATTAAAATATTTTTAAAAAGTTGAATAATTTTTTTTTTTTTTAAATACCTGTCAGGGCCGGGACTCAAAATAAATTTGGCCTTGTAGGAGTCCAAGGCCTTAGCCACCATGCCACCCACTGGCCCTCTTTTTGTTCCAGTTCCATATTTGATGATTATCTTCGCCACATCCCTCCTTTTTATTATTAAAGAGGTTTTTGGTATGGGGCATGTGTGCTCCCGGGAAAGACAGAGGCAGCAAGAAATCACTCTCCCACCTCCCATCCCCAGGGATGATGGCCATGTCACAATGCCTGGTGTGAGTTTTAAGCCCCATGTGTACCTGGTGTGAGAATTTTAAGCCACTGGGTTCAGGACTCAAACTGTGGTGGACTTCGTGGGAGTCCAGCAACATGACCATTATGCCATCTCTGTCATCCCTTGGTTTCTGCAGTGCCCTAGCTTTTGGAAGATAATGTACCAGTGAAGAAACAAGTGTTTTTATTGTGGTTTTCAGCATTAAGTGTTGGTTTGGTTTGGTTTGAACTCTTTGTTCACATAAAAATTGTATCCTCTCCTAGTCCCCTCGGTGTGTGATTCATACAGTTTGAAATTCTAGGGGTTCATTCATTCACTCTAATTTGACCAGAGAGAGACAGACACACATATATATAGAGAGAGGTAAAGTGAGAAAGCAAGCTACCAGGTCCAGGACTTGAACCCTGGTCAGCCATGTGGGAGTGTCCAGCACCTTAACCACCACGCCACTTGCTGGTCGTTAAAGCTTTTTAAATGAATGAAATAAAAGTACAAAATAACAAAACAATGGGGCTAATATTGAATACCATTAATAACTTAAAAAACTTGGTGAATAAAGTTAGCTTATTTGTCTTGTAAAATTGTACATGAAGGGGACCAGATGGTGGCACAGTGGTGAAACTCAAGAGTCTAACTCTTGAAGGAAGGTACTGTGTTCACATCGGAAGCGCTTTTGAGTATGCCAGATATGCATGAGCCCGTAATCTGAGCTGGCTGGGAATGGATTACACCACCAAGATCCTGTTAGGGGTACTATCTGTCTCTCTTTCAATCAGGGAATAAATTAAATGATAAAAAAAAAAATGCACATATATAAAACAACTGCTTTTATTAAAAGACTGAATTCAGGGGCCAGCAGATGGTGTAATGGCTATGTCGCTGGACTCCAATGTAGTCGACTGCAGTTCAAGTCCTGGACCTGGTGGCTTAAACTCAGCCGGGCATGTGTGCGTGCGTGCCCAAGATCCTGAGAGGAGAATGGAGGAGAAGGGATTGCAGTGTGGTCATCCTGCTGGAAGGTGATTTCTCTCTTTCTATCTGTCTCTGTCTCTCTTGTGAACAAATGCACCCTATAGCAAAAACCTCCAAAAAAAAAAAAAAAAAAAAAAGACTGAATTTAGACGTAGCCAGCAGAGGGCAGTAAGAAGTTGGTGCCTGGTCTGTGAAAAATACAGACAGGAAGCCCTGACTAGTTCCTTCCAGGAAGTTTCTTCACTTATTCTCTTTGAAGAGTTCAGGAATTCTATTCAGAGATTGACAAACTACAGGACATTGCTGACCTTTAGTTTATTACTGCTGGTTGCATTTGCTCTTTGCATATGGTGTCATCACTTGAATTGAGTTTTACCTAGAGGCCAGCCTCTTGGCACAGTGGTTAAGGGAGCTGAATCCCACATGGTCCACTGTGAGAATTAAATCCTAGTCCTGGTAGCTTGAAAAACATGCCTGGATGTATTCCCTGCTGACCCAACATTATTTCTAATTGTGATTTTAATAGTTCGATGACATTTTATAAAATAATTATCTTACGAACAATGGCAATATCAATTCAATAAACCACTGATGGACATTGGTTGCTTTTCATCTTTCTTCAAAGGCTACTGATTTTGCTTAATTTCAATATATGTATGAAATAAGAAATTACAGAAATTTAGACAGTTGATATTCAGCAGATGCCTACAGTTAAACCATGGTGATAAAAGCAAATTTGGTGGAGCCAGCAGGTGGTGTTGTGGTTAAGGTGCTATACTCCCAAGTGGCTGACCACAGTTCAATTCCTGGACCTGGTGGCTTGAAACACGTTGGGTGCATGTGCTTTCATACTCACAAGAGGAGAATGGAGGACCAGGGATTATGGCATGACCATCCCCCTGGGGGATGAATTTTTTGCTTTTCTGTCTGTGGTGAGTGCATATATCCTCTACCAAAAAAACTCTTAAAAAATAAAATGACTTTTCCCTCATTGGTCTAGATTTCTAATGTT